AATGACTTGGAGAGGATCTGCAAAGAGGAGTGGGACAAAATCCCTCCTGAGATGTGTGTAAACCTGGTGGCCATCTACAAGAAACGTCTGACCTCTGTGATTGCCAACAAGGGTTTTGCCACCAAGTACTAAGTCATGTTTTGTGAAGGGGTCAAATACTTATTTCACTCATTAAAATGCAAATCAATTTATTTTTTGAAATGTGTTTTTCTGGATTTTTTGTTATTATTCTGTCTCACTGTTAAAATAAACCTACCATTAAAATTACAGACTGATCATTTCTTTGTCAGTGGGCAAACATATAAAATCAGCAGGGGATCAAATAATTTTTTCCCTCACTGTATGGATGGGAATCACTGTGGGTGTTACATTGTAATAGATAAATAATTCAAGTAATTTGAATTAAATACTAACATTGGGGTTTTTAAAAAATACATCATCCATCACCTTGAAAAAAATTATGTATATCTACTTTCATAACATTCAGAAGCTAGGATAATCTTCAATCAAATTGAAATTATAGGTACCCATCATATTGTTATTTGGAAGTTTAGGCATATTAGCTTTTTAATAAAAGTGATATTAGCATGGTATCCATGTGTCCTTTTGAAGTTCAGGAAATCATTTTTTTTCCTTTATGCCAACACCATTTCTTTCTTTTACAAGTAAACATTAGCCTTTTCAGCAACTAAATAGTAGAGAGCAGATTCTAGAAGTCCTTGAATTCACTTAAAAGTTTTTAAGAAAGATACAAACCTTGCAGGGAAAGGTAGTAACAACATCACTCATAAATTTACTACTTGTGGAATTTTGTCTAGAATCAGTGTTTTCTCTATTCAGTTCTCACATGTAAACAATGTCTGATCATTTGCTTTCTAAAATAGCACATACATTATATATATGTATCATTTGTTTCTGCCCCCTATATAAGGACTTGAAATCCCCCTTAATAAATGCTTCTTGCTTTATCTGGATTACTTGATGATTTTTGAGTGGTCAATAGAGCCCCTTTGCAAAAGTAAAAGTTTTTCTCTCCCAAATTCAGGGGAGTAGGTCTTCAGCTCCACATAAATACAGAGTGCTCAAATTTCAAGGCAACAGAAGGTACTATGAAAATAGTGATCTGTTCTGATAGCATTTGAATTGGATTGCCTTAGTGTGTTGTATGTGAAAACACCAAAGACACTTTGGAAGCTACAGCTGATTCAAAGTAAAGCGAAAGACAGGAGGATGCTGATGGGATAGTTCAGTAAGAGCATACTTTTAACAATTTTAGGTCTTCGTTGGTTTATTCTCAGACTGCTTCCAAATCCAATTCAAGGTGCTGTTTTTGCTCTTTAAAGCCCTTTACAGCTTGCGTCTTGAAGATCACCTACTTTTCTATCAAACTGTCTGCTTCTAAACAATTTTCACTAAAAGCCCTTCTTAAACTACAATACTTCCACCATTAGAGCCGAGACAAATAACAGCAGAGTTTTTCCACATTAGTGGTCTTTTAATAGAGAACAAATGTGCTTAAGACCCACTAATAGTAAGTCCTTTCAGTTAACATTCTAGGCCATCAACAACCCCTTTTATCTATATTACCAAAATTTAGCAATAATTTCTTGAGTTGCCAAAAATCAGTGAAAGATTCCTGTCATTTAAAAAAGTATATGAAAAAACATATAGTACACTCAGAACAATAGCAATGTAATATTCAAAGATTACTTACCATTGTACCCAAATTTATTTTCATTTTTTAAAAATCCCTGTGATATAGCCTTGCCTGCTTACATGATCATCCTTGCCCTGCAATCCTTGGCCCAGCAAAACACTAGGTATAGCCCCCAGCCTTGGAAATAGTTCTTATGCTACTTTGAAAACATTTTACACTTTCAAACATTTTACATTGTGATTTTTAATTTTTCCTTTGTTGCTTTTCTATTTTATTGATTTTTATCGCAGTACACTTTTTGTGACTATAAGCTATTTCTTCTACTTTTAAAGTGAACTCTAAACTGCTCTGGAATAAGATTTTCTGAACCACAAGAATATTTTTTTTTAAATTAAAATGCGATGAAGCAACTTTGCAGAATATAACATAATTTATATAAGCAAAGATATTAAGGAAAGTTCAATCAGAAATACAAAGTATATTAATTTTGAATAGAGGTCATGGAGAAAACAATAAAAATTAAGGAAAAAAATCAATGTTGGATGCGTTCTACAAAAAGCTGGATTACTGCGCCTAGTTTATTTAAATTATCTAGAAGTTAAATTACCTGGGTAATCTCAAAAAACTAAGCTGGATTTATCATTTGGAACTGAATGGGAAACCTCAAGAAATATGAGGACTATAGGCCAGCCTGAAAAATCAGAAAAATATCATGGAAGGCAGTTCAAATCGTTTTGTCAAGTAAACAATATATACACGTCTGTCACCAGGAATCAGTTCTAGCTCAAAGGACTTGCTAAAAAACTTAAGGAAGAGTAGCTGGATTAAGTAATTCTCCTTCGCTGGATGATAACTATTTATTCATAACTTGCTGTGTAGATGCAAAATTTAACTATATCCTCCATTTTTCAGTGTAATATCATTATCCAGCCTATTCTTGAGTCATACTGTTTTTCAAGTGTTTAAAGATACATTTATGATTTTGTCGTCTTATTAGTGTTCACATAAATCTAGCAAAGCCAGAATTCAGTGAAGTTGTCACATGGATTTTCATCTGTCTTTTCCCATTTGCTTATTTATTATTATATCTGCATTGTACCTTTTTTTTTTACTTTAAACATGCATGCAGCCATCCCCCCTGCTTTCTGGGGCTAAGAACTGAATGGAAATGCAATATCAGTAACAAAATACATCTGGGTGACCATTAAGAGATATTCTAAATTGGAAAAATCCTTTGTACAGCACATTTTTTTCTATCTTCAGTATTTGCATTAAGAAAGGAATTCTTACCTTACCTGCTTTGGGACATAATGATCAGAGAGAAAAACTTGAGAAAAAGTGTAGAATACTTAGTGGTAAAGTTGTTCAGAAATAGCATAGACCCCATTCTTGGGATAGAATATGATGGTAGAAATAAATAACATCCTTCTCAAGTTTGATTCATGAACTTTCTTCTAAAAAATTTGTTTGCAGAACACTCTTATGATAGATGACCAAGAACTAATATTAAAAACCATTATAAAAATAATTGAACCGAAGAAGCTTCTTGGATGAGAAGCAAAAAGTCTTCAAGAAAAAACAAAGAAAGTCCAGTTGCCTCTTGAAAAAGCATCTTCGAGCAAATATAATATTTTTACTCATTTAATTAGGTTGTTTCTATTTATGCAGAAATATTAGAAATTCAAAAAGCTTCACAAACGTTTAAATGCTACTGTTTGCTAACATATTGATATTTTATCTTCAAACAGTACAGGTGATGTACTTGAACAAAAAAAACTATACAAATTTGACTGTATATTCCACAAAAAAAATTAAAATTTCATTCTGTGGAAAAAGTACACCTTTGGTTCTGTTACCTGGTTCTACCTCCATTTGCAGAAACAACCTCAAATATGTATTTCTTATAACTGCCTAGCAGTTCTGAAATCAACTGAGGAATTTTCTTCCCACTCCTCCATGTAGAATTTTTTTGAGCTGTGCAGTGTTCAAGGGGTTTCTTGCATGCACAACCATTCCAAACTGCCCCACAGCACCTCAATGGGATTTAGGTCCAGCTTTTAACTTGACCATTCCAGAACCCTCTCTTTTTCCCCCTCAGCTATTCCTTGACACGTTCATTGTCATGTTGCAAGGTTCACTTTTGGTTGAGGTTCAAGCGTCAAACAGATGGTCTCACATTATCCTTAAATGCCCACAGATGGAATGAAGAATTCAGAGTGAATTCTATGATAAACTACCCAGACCCTGATGCAGCAAATCACCCCTTAACTTTAACATTTCCATATATCATGGTTTACAGTTGTTTTATCAGGTTTTTCTGGTGATACATTAGGTTTTCACTTAACATGTTTTCTGGTACTGTGGCCAAATAATTATCTTTGCCTCTTCTGTCCAGAGCACATTGTTTCAAAAGTCCTGGTCTTTGCCTAGGTGTTCATGAGCAAACTTTAGTCTTGCCCCAGTATTTTTTCTGAATAGCAAAGGTTTCCTCCTGATACACCTTCCATATAGATCTAATTTAGGCAGCTTCTAATAGTAGACATGCCCTTTGACATCAGCAGTAGCAACAGCTACTTCTAGGTCACATGATAAAATCCTGAGGTTCTTAAAAACTTCTTTCAACAACTTGTATTCCGCTCTTGGGCTGAACTTGCTGGAACAACCTGGTCTGGGTAAATTGGCAGTTGTTTGAAATCTTGTTTGTAGATCTTCTGTACAGTGGAATGATTAATGCCCAATTGTGGGGGGCAAACTTTGTAAATCTCCTCCCAGAGTCATAGACAATTATTATCTTCTTTCTGAAGGCCTCAGAAATATCTTTTGATATAGGCATGTGTATACCACACACTTCAGTAACTAAGAGCAAAGCAAACTAAATGTCTTAGGTTTGAATAAGACAGGTTCCTCCCAAATCTTCTCTGACAATACTTTAATCATTTGCACCAGATCTGGTGCACCTGAAACTAATTTTAGGTATTTGAGGTGATAAATGTAGGAATATACTTACTTTATTAATATTGTTAAAATTAAGATCAATTATCTATGTTAAAATATGTTGAAAAAGACAAACATTTCAGCGGGGGTGTACTTAACTTTTTTCACATGACTGTAGCTCCACCAGTAAATTCTGGGTTAAGTAGTCTGAACAGGACCTTGTCACATACGGGTTTTGCTGCAGTAATGTATTGATAACTATTAAGGCTTCTTACAATTACTTGTAATGATACTTAACATTTACATTTGCAAAGTCCAGTTATTAAAGTGTAAAATTCCTGTCAAAGCTAGAATAGGTAAACTTAACTGACTGTACAAAAATTCATAAACAGAAATAAAAGATTATTTCTTTTTTATATCTTGCACCTTAATAAATAAATAAAACAATGTCTTCAAGTAATATCAAGTAAAACAAAAGCAGGCATAGTCAATTGCTTGATGGTCTGAATCCAAAGCCTGGAACATGGATGTTGTACACTTATGACCGTGAAATTCTAGAACACTGGTATTGTGTGATCTTCCGTTTATTCAGAAATGCACCTTCTTCACTCTGCTTTTCCAGGTGGTTTTCTTCACTTTAATCTCAAGATAGTTACTTTCCCCTCACATAAAGTTTTGGATTAATTTTATTATATACTGGCAACAGAAATTGAAGAAATCGATTTATATCTTTTTATGAAAAACACAGTACAGTTCCTGCAAACTTTAACAATTATTTTCAACATGTTTTAAAGTTATAACTGAGGCTACCATTCTTATTCTGCTTATGAACCATTAGACATATATATCATAGTATACAATTCAGTTGACCAACAATCATTGTTAAAGTTACTGAGAGAAAATTCAAGCTTGTGATATTCAAGCTTGTGCAATTTTTATTCAAGCTATGAAAACCTTTGAAAAAATCTGCTTCGTAACATACATAAGCATGTATGAAGCACTACTCTTGTAATCAATAAACAGCTATGTTTTGCCAGGTTCATGCATTTGCTCTGGAAGTTATTCCTGCTTTTTTCACTTGAGTGTAGAAAAGAAAACATGAATTTGGAGAAAAATATGTTAGCAGTTTGGTTGATTCAAACAGGAGTTTTTCATTACGCATTCCTTTATGCTGTGAAGCATCTTTCAGATAGGTTTGCATAGCCCTAGTTTTCATAGCAAGAACAGACAAGGTATAATCTCCATGAGTCCAGTGTGACAAATGAGTCATACAACTGAAAAGTTGGACTTTTGGAAGTAAAGATACCCATATATGCAATGAAGAAAGGAACAGGATCCTGCAAAGCTCCTTTAATCCACAATTTAAAATTCCACATCTTCTTTGTTCCAAATACCCTTTTTCCTCACAGAAACTATCCTGAGGAGATTTCAAAAAGCTGCACACATGCAGAGCAGATTTTCATATCACATGGGGACTATCAGAGTCATCCTCAGAATCATCGCTTTCAGAGCTGCTTGTGAAAATGCTACTGAGGGAATGCATAGATGAAAAGCTGCTGCTCTCACTATCTAATGTTGACGTAAGACTACTGCTCTCACTGTCTGAAGAAGAAGCAAGACTACTGCTCTCACTGTCTGATGGTGGGCTTGGTGGAACAACCCGCCTTCCTGAAATTAAACAGACAAATATATGGCAATTAGTTTATACAGTGTTTGTATGACTTAGGCTGATACAGATACCTTAACATACCAAAGTTATCTAATTTAAATAATTTTTTTTCAAATAAATCTCTGTCACAAGATTACATACAAAAATATCTAGTGAAGGCTTGCACAAGGCTATTTCACCATCAACTGTCTTAATGTTGTGGAGATATCAACTGGATAACTTTCATAGTCACAGGCCAATGGTTCTCAACCTTTTCTTCACCAGGGATCCCCTTTAAATACCTTTTGTGGCCACGGACTATTGTCATGGACCCCCAAGACTTAAAATTTAAATCATAACATTTCTTCAAGCCTTCGCAGACCCCTTATGATGACATGGCAGCCCCACAGAGGTCCGCAGACCAGCCGTTGAGAACCATTGGTCATAGGCAGATAAATGTGGAGAAGGAGGTGGGCCCTACCATGATTTCAAGTCAGATATAAACATACGGAGTAGAAGTCTATTAATCTCATGAATAAACTTACTCAGATATGCACAGGTTTCATGTTTCTATGCAGATACATATGGATTTACTCTAATTTCAATATTTTATTACCTACAGTTGATAACATTTTATAACCTAATGAATCTATCAGAATTTATAGTTCTACAGCATTTGTGCTAGTTTTGCTGCCCTAAACTAGTAATGTTTGATCAAGAATTTTTTGAAGTTTTTTTTTAACTGCACAAAGACAAAGTTTGAAAACTCTGCTGTAAATGTAAGGCAAGAAAATTAGAACCATTTTCTTTCATAAAAGTCAACTATTGTCAGATATTTTCAAGCAATATAATATTTATTCTAGCATCTACATCAGGAACCATCTTCAGTAATCTCACAGACAGTGAATGATCTTCAGACACTAGGTTTGGGTTCACTGCCCTACACTGATATGTTAAATTTATTTTGAATACAAAATCTGCAAATTAGTATGCTACCTTAAGAATTGATTCATAATACTTCAACAGTAATTATTGTTACCAACTTCTTAGAATATTTTAGAATGACTTTCCACAAGTGTAAGAAAAAGTCTCATTTTCATATGTATCCTACTTAGTGGCACAACTATTCCAAGGAGAATATTAAGAAGAGGAGAGAGATCAGTTATTACAAAAAGGTGCTTACCCTTATCTCATCACTATATATCAAAAAAGTGGAGCAATATAAAGTGATCACTAAATTTTAGCTGCAAACTACATTCCACAACAGACACTATTTCTTTACTTGCAATGTGATACTTTAATCAGCTGATCCTGAGGACCTGGTTTATTTTGAAGCCCAAGCTTCAAACATCCTGGGAAGCTAGGCAACTTTACAATTTGTCAAATATCTGGCAAATTTGTTGTATTGTTCTCTTTTCAAATTTGAGCTCAACTCAATCCTAAAACTATAGTAGAAATGCAGATAGAGATTTAATTATGAATAAAATAATTAAGTTAAAGAAGTATGTTTAGCTTGGTATTGATACATTTCTAAATTACTTCCTAAAATAAGCAGCTGACAAAAAAGATTCAATTGCTAGGAATGGAAGACCCACCTCTCACCTTTTCTCTCTTGAATAAGGGACAGGCGACGGTACTTTGTCTCATCATCCAAATTTTCCACCATCTTGTCAATACAGTTGTCCAGAACTAGTGACCGAGTCTTGGATAATATTGTCCCTCTACATATTGGACACTCCACCTTACGTTTCATCCATTCATCAATGCAATATGAGCAGAAGCTATGTGCACAATTTAGAGTGACAGCCTATAAAAACAAGAATGAAAGTAAAGTGCCACTTTATAGAAGGTCTTCTTTTGCTCATCACAGTTTATCTTGGGGAAGAATTGTATAAAAGAAAACTGTTAAATATGAACTCAGCACTTTCCAAGGTTATTCTGCCTATTTCCACTGTCCAGAATAACAGATTTTGTTTCATTTCTTACATAGTACTATCTACATTTATATTAGATTTATATTTTGTATAATTAACAAACATTTGGAGAAAAAAAACAAGACTTCAAATAAAAAATATAAAAATATAAAAACAGTATTATATAATATTAAACCAATTCCGGTTTAGTTAATTTACATTCCAATAGAGTCTAGAAGTGGTGGGGGCCTGGATCAGGCACAACAGGCTTTACCTCAGTCCAAGCAAGACTAAGTAGGACTATGTTTTTGGACCTTATGGTTCCAGGGATCTTCCATCTTTGAGTTTGGATGGGTGGCATTGCCCAGACAGATCCATTGGGCAATCTGGAGTCCTCCTGCACTCACGGCTCCTGCTTAAAGAACAGATGATGGCAGCCGTGGCTAGGAAGACATTTGCACTTAGGGTTGCGTGTTAGTTGTTCCTGTTCCTGGACTAGGGGATCCTATTCACAGCCACTCACGCTCTTGCAACCTCTAGATCAGATTATTGCAATTCACTTTACAAGGAGCTGCTCTTGAAGAGTATTTGGATGCTTCAACTTCAATTTCAATTAGTGCAAAATGCAGCAACGTGTGCAGTTCCAGTCATTCAGCCCATGTAATACCACTGCTCCACAAGCTGCACTGGCTTCTGGTGTGCTTCCAGGTACAATTGAAGATGCTGATTGTCACCCTTAAAGCCCCTCATGGCTTCTGTTATGTGTGGAACCATCTCTCCCTAATTGTTTCTACCTGTCCTTCCAGAGCTGGCAGGAAGGGCATACTATTAGGTGGCTGGGCCCCGAAAAAGAGCCTTCTCTGCTGTGACATCTGTCCTCCTCCTTGAGATTAGATTAGCCACATCCTTGTAGATCTTTTGTACGGCCTTGAAAACTTGGCTTTCTGCCCGGGCCTGGGACTTAGGGTGGGTGAAAGCCCATCTCCTGGTTATGTGATGATAAGTTAGATTATGCCTTGCTGCTATGTGTTTTTATTTTTATTTGCTTTTACATTGTGCATTTTACTTTGTTGTTTTAGTTGTTTACGCTGCTTCGAGTCATATAAAAGTGAGATGGATGGCTATATAAATTAAATAAACAAATAGCCATTCCCCTCACAAACATGACTCTGGATGGTTAACAGATTGAAACAATGTATAACCAACAAGGTAAAAACAATAATCAAAAATAAAAAAAACATAATATGGCATCCAAGAAGGCCAATAACCAACCCACCTGGGCTCAGCTAATCTTCTATCTTCATGCCTGGGAAACAGACAGGTCTCAAAAGGGCAACAGCCTCCATTTGAAGACCTCCAGTAAAGCAGAATTCACCACTTAGTTTGGAACCACTTCCAAAGGCTTATCGGATATTACCTGCTAATGTCTAGCTTGAATTTACTTCCTTGGATTGGATGCCACTTGAGGTGGGTCTTCCCTTGAGACCAGTCCTTGGCAGAAGTCATTGGACAGCTCTCATCACTGATATGCTTTTTGTGTGATGCACCTCACACAGGTTAAATCTGAACTGCTGCTATTCTCTTATCCTTCAGACCCCAAAATTATATACTGTATTAATATGTTAAGTTCTAAATCATAAAATGTAAGCATTGGAAAGAACCTTAGAAATCATTTAGTCCACCGTGTTGCCTAGTACACGAACTAGTATATATTTCTGACAGATAACCATTCAGACTCAGTCCCAACCTTTCCAGAAAGGTCTACCACCACCCAAGGGGATTCTTTTTGATGTTCAACCAAAATTTACTCTTTTTAAAACTGAAATCCACTTTTTCTTGTCCTGTTTTCTGGAACAATTCTGCCTCGACAGACAGCTATTATGTCCCACACATTCTTCTCTTTATAAACCAGAACTTGAGGGGGGGGGGAATCCAAAATAATTAATACTGAGGAGAAAACAGATATCTCAGCCAAGTCATTAAAAGCCCAAAAGAACTTATCTAGAAGGATTATACAGGTAAGTATGATTACAAGAGGGGGTAGCATTGGGGACATGGAGATTCAACCATTTATATGCCACCACCTGAAAACACACCCTCACAAATATCTGCGTGTCTAACCTGGAAAAATGGGGCAAAGCAAAGGGAGACATCTCAGAAAAACCTTTATCTATTTCTGATATTCTCATTTTTGCCTAAATTGATTTTTTTCATTGACTGTTGCTAAATAGATTTGATATGCTCCAGTAGTTCTGTTCTACATTTTTAAAATCTTTTTCTATAAGATCTTCTATAGGATCTGGCTTTCCCTACAGGGAAGCTTTAAGGCTTAATCTCCTCTCATAGTTTTCATGAAAATAAGAAGAACAAACCTGTACTTTGCTCCGAAATTTTCTCCTTTAAACAAAACAATAATATTTATTTTTACCTCAATAAAGTGTTCAGAGCAAATTGTACACTGCAGCTCATTCTCCAATACATCATTCATCTGGTTCAGTGCCTCCTCTTTTTGTGCTCTTGCTTTCTCCTTCTCTTCCTATAGCCAAGACAGAACACAAAAGCACTAGGAATGCAATTGCTGAAGCTAGGAAATGGAAAACATGTTTCATAAGATGAAGTACCCTGTACTCAAAATATAAAATTTGCCTATATGATTAAATAGTTAAAATACTTTTTCAATCCACTACCATATTTAAACATAACAAGGAGAAATGAAGGCAGTTCACACTATCAGTGGAAAGGAAGACAGGAGCTTCCTTAAGAAACCATATAGACATTTAAAAGAGGATTTGTAGAATGTCTGCACTATCCATTTTTCCATATGTTCATGGGGTCTATTCATACCTTGGTTTTTTTCAATTCCCTATCCTTGGCTTTAATTATTTCTTCAAAATCTTCCTTATTACGGTTCAGTTCTTCCATCAGAGCCTGATGCTAAAAATTAGAAGCAAACAAAAACGGTATCAGCAGTATGCTGATTCAAATTAAAAACAGTATGCTACATTCAAATTAATATCTCTGAAACTGATTGCCATGGAAATGCAACTCTTCTGAATGTGCTCCATAAAATGTGCAAATATTCATCTATACAAGATTATCAAACTATAAAACACTAAAAAAGTAGAAGCCTATGGTAACGAAGAACTATTAACTTTAAAAATACATACAGAGAGACAAAAAGATGAAAACGGTATTGCAGTGTTGTGCTGCAAACTCCCTTTTGTATATGCATGTAATGTCACAAGACACACACAAAAGGCTAGGTCCTACATCACAGCATTGTTTTCATCATTCTGCCCTCTTTGCCCCCACCCCTGCAGATGCTGCTGTATGGGTATCTATAATGCAAATACACATCTATACATTAAAGAAATAGACTGTATACATTTGATACTTAAGTAAATTGCCTTCAGTACTGTCTCCTCCTGCTGCTGCCTCGTTAGCTTGGACTAAGCCCCTCCACCCTCACAAATCACTTCTGGAACCAATCACCCAAAAGGAGAAAAGGAAGAAGCAGAAAGCAAAGCAAGTGACCATCATTAGAACCATTACTTCTTCTTTAAATATTTTTTCTTTATTTAAAAACTTTTTATTTTAATAACTTAGTACTGTTTTGGCATTAAAAGTACTGAGATATGATGGCTGAAGGATAGTATAAAAAGTTGTTAAAAGATTAATAAATAAAATATAAATTGTGAGCAAGAACAATTTCCTGAAAACGAACTGGAATATTCTAAGTGGCCATACGATATACATTTTGGTAATGTAGTTAGCCATGTCATTGCAATACTTTTTGGCAATTATATTCCTCATAACAAAGAATGTAATATTAGTAGTTGGCTACCTTTATCTCATAGGAGACGCCCACACTATAATGACTCGCATTACACCAAGATACAAAACTAATGTCCTAGCAATTTATCAGTGGTCACATCTCAGTTATCTCTGAATTATATAAACTTCAGGAAAAATATAAACTTGATAGGAAACCAACAGGATGCAATACAGAGATGAGAAAGAAACAAATATAAAATAAAACCAAACAGAATGAATGTTGGACAAGTATCAAGCAGGCTATCAAAACAATGGAAAATTGATAGTTTATTGATAGTCAGACCTAGTAATTACAGTAGTATTAAAATTGTCAACACAGAATTATAGATGTCAGGAACTACTAGCTTCTTTAGTAGGGCAAGATAATTGGTCTGGAGATCAGGAGGATGAAGCAATTACAACTACAGAGCAATTAAACAAGCTGCAGTCCCTCGCTAGAGAAACTCTAAGTGACCGAAGCTTCACAACTGAATTTGTGACAAAACAAAGGTTTTTAACTGTGTTATCAATTTTTGACCAACAAGGTAAGGCCAATAATTATGTGGTGGAGATATATGAATATTTTTATGAAAATAAGGCAAAAAAATTCTTTTAAGAAGGATACAAATAGCATAGGAATGGCAAAGCCAGTTAGATTGGCCCAGGAAAATGATGGAACTGGCCACAAAGAAAGTAAAATCCTGAGTGAACATAGAAGGGATAAACAGAAAATAAAACAGAGCAAAATAAAACTAATTCCATGGAGAAATGAAGAGACTTCTATCAACCTAATAACTAAGCTTTCTGATTTAAGTAATAAAAACATACAAATCTCTTAAATTACCTGTAGGAGAACCTGAGCTAGTTGGTCCTTCAGTCTTTCTTCTCCATGTTCTTTGTTTGCTCTCTGCATAATAACAGAACATGAGTCACGAGCAGAAGAAAAAAAATAAAAATTAATGTCAATTTGCTGGATATCATGTACATTTAGAAAATGCAACAGAAGAAAATTACTGGTTGTGAAAACTGAAATTTTATAATAAAAATAAATCCTGAAAAATTATCGTTATTTTTGTCAGTCAAAGATATATCCTGCTAAACACTATACTGTACTTTTACATGAATTCTTCTACTGCTGAATGTTCAAAATGCTCTTTTTTTCCTCTACTAGGGCTATCTCTCTCTTCCACCCAACAAACAACAAATTTAAAGAAACAGATAAGGCAGTGAAACATCAATGGTTTTTATCATACTAGAAGAAAAAAATTACTTTCAGCTGAAAACACTTGAACCTAATAGCTGCTATTGAATTTTTCTATATTAATATATGTTACCTTTTCCAAAAGTATTTTTAAAGTGTTGTTTATTGAAAACATGCAAGTTAACATATCTTACAAAATATCTTCCCCAAGGAATAACAGGTATAACTACTCTGGAGAACTAGAGCCAGTAATCAGAATGTATATTCCATAAATATTTAGATATTCTTCATCAAATGAAATTAATCTTTTATCTTAAAGGTTCTTTATAATTGAAAACTATATTTTAAACATTTGTTATGCTGTTTTATTTTTGAAAAACACCCCAGGAAACTACATTATTTCCCATACTAGGACACATTAGTCCTTCAAATTCCAATTTTTAAAAATAAACATATTAGGAATTCCCCAGAATCATCACATTGCCCAAGACTGAAATTTGCAAAACCTAGGGAGAGAGGAAACCTTTCACATTTTCAGGTTCTGTGGAGAAAGGAGAGGATGACTGAAATTGTATGACGGTGACTAAAAATCTGAAAAGATATGCCAATATTAAAAAGGCAGACTTTTCCCTCCTCCCTCTGGTCATTCATGTTAGGGATAATCACTTTTTAGGAAGTCAAAGGATGTATTTGCTCTTTCTTTGAATGAAGTGCTGGTACTGCACTACAAAAGGCGGCAGGTTATGCATAACGTAGGCTTAAAAAGTTAAAAATTATATAAGATGTAACTATTTCTTTTTTTAAAAAATTACCTTTTTCCGGTCCACAAATGTTACTTTATTAAAATAATACTGTACCCCCAAATACTGGCATTTTCCAAGTTATACAAGTACATTGCAGTGCCCCCCCTTTAGTTTAGATTCATCCTAAAATCTTGACTATTTTAAAAGATAAACAAAAGCTTATCATGGTTATACCTACCTGTAGTTCCTCACTGAAAGTTTTCTCTAACTGTTCTACTTGCTGCTGCTGCTGCTGCTGCTCAGTACATAATTGTTCTTGCAGTTGTTGTAGCTCCTGCTCCAATACCTGAATCTCTTCTGGAGCAAATTTGGGATTTTGTTTTACAGTCAAGACTGCGATCTGCTTCGCCTGCACTTTGGCTTTGAGCTTGGTCATGTCTTCCAGAGTTTTTATTACTTGTTCCAAATTGTTCCAAGACTGTGCCAGACTTGGGTTTTTTTGGTCCTTAGAGTTGAGAAATACTTGATCCGGTTGAACTGAGTTACAGTAGTTTTTCTTCTTCTCCTTCTTGCTTGGTTTTGATGAGAATAGTACTATGGTTTCCGTGTTTTCCATTGGTGGTTTAGACAGATCAGTACTGCCTTCCTGAGATTTCCCCAAAGAGTCATTATCAGAGGATACTCGATCTCTCTTGGATCTAGAATGGGAAGGCCCTTCGGCTCCAGATGTCTCTGATTCCTCCAAGCTAATTTTACGTTTAGTTCTGTCCTTTACTCTCTCTGTCATCTGGTCATTTTTCAGTGCTAAAAATGGGCTAATCATCTTCCTTTCTTCTTTTATTACTGTATATTCATATTCAGCAGTTTCTTTGTGTTTTAAAGGCACACCCAATTGGATGAAGTCCCCCTCTCGTAAAATATAGGCCCTTGAAGGGTCAATGCGTTCACAGTTCAGCCAGACACCATTTAGACTCTGTAGAAATTTAAAAAAAACCCATATTTTAAAAAAAAGAGCTATGGAGAATTTATGGGGGGGAATAGAGGAAAAAAAATTGAAGAAAAAAATAATGATCCAAACTAAAAGTGATCCAGTGGATAAGTAGATTTAATATGGGTATTAAGGAATTTATTTATTTATTTATTATTTTATTATTTTATGATTTATTTATTAAAGTTATCTATTTAGCCTGGCCTCTAATTAGCTAATAACCAGATGTAAGTCCTATGTAAGAGTTTGTTTTACCAAACTCTTGTACGGGTCTCTGACAATTTGCCACAGCTAACTCACCACGGCCAACTTGGTGAGTTGGCAGCACCAAGTTGGCCGTGGCGAGTTGTCCCATTCCGTACTGTACACCCTTGCTAGAAGCGAAAGTGCCTAAACAGAAATCTGCTACCATGATTAAAATCTCAAAAAAATCTAGCATCAAATTCTGATTATGTAATGCAAGATTTTCTAACAGCTATTGCTTTTGACTTCTTGGGAATCTTAACTATTTGGTCAAGCAAATCATACTGGAACATTCCCACTCCGATGAGTGCGGCTTCAGAGGAATGCAGTTAATACAGTTAATTTACAAATTTGATTCTATACATAGGGTACTTCAAATATGTAGAAGTGACCTGTCTACCATAACATCACAGTTACAGAGATTGCTTTGAAAATACAGTATTTTCTTTTATAACCCTTACAAAGTAACTGAACATTAGCTCCGAGATGGTTAATTTTTTTCTATCAAACTTCTGAAGGACAGTTTCAAAAACAGTTTAGTGCTTACAAATGCCTGTTATATAATATTTGGAGCTGAGCAAAAAGCTACTAGCCAACAAATATTCTAGGCAGTGTGAATGCAGCAAAACATTAATTACTTGGGTTGATTAGTACTTAATGGAAAGCAGAAGCACAGCAAATCAAACTGTAATTGATTAATTTTTTCTAGAGTCACCACATCTACAGTAGATTGGCTGTCAGATTACTTTCATTATCTGGAAAGGACTATAGCTCCTGGCTGTTTTAATGGATGACACAATAATTTTTTTAAAAAAAATTCATTCTGTATTTTATAAATCTTTTAAAAAGATTGTAGAACACCTGTTCTAGATATCAAAGTGCCCAAGCAACTTATAATACAAAATGGTTTACAGGAAAGCTCCACGACCACTTCAACAGAAAGTGCCCAAAATTTACTAGTGAAATCAAAACACTTCATTCCATTGTATGTTTTTATTTTATTGCCTTCAGTATAATGTTTTGTATAATATTCTGTCCAACAATTCATGGGTGATGTTTATTGGTGATGACTTTCAATATTTTCTTTTATATGGTACTGCCACAATGCAAGGATTGGTTGTAAAGTTATTTTGTCATCATTGTCGTAACTGCAAATAGTTGCAAAACAAGGCGGTCACTAAACGAGGGCTACCTGTATCACAATAAACTACATTTCTGATTTACCCTAAATCATGACACAGATTTCAGGCTGCCTCAAAGAACATACAGGGTTTGTTAGTCAGAGAGAAGCCACCTCTTAGAGTCTTTGGAGTGTCTCAGCCTCTAGAAGTGTCTTGAATGCTTTGGAAAAGGGAAGGCTCAAGGGACAGAATTAACTAGCCCCCAGGAAGATCACTAACACAAGCAGACCTGGTATGAGCCAATAAACCTGGGAGGCCTGGGTCTTTCACCCTATGATCCTACAGAATTTCCTGAGAACTAGGAGAAAATCTACGTTCTAGAATAGAATGGTGGATCCTCTTCCTCCCTCATCAATGAACAATTCATATTTCTTTCTGATTGGCCCTTACTTGATGCTTTTTCTGTTTCTCCTATGGCGTTAATTCAGGTAGTTATTTAACATCCACTCACTCAGCATTCACTTGAAGTTATGACAGTGCAGAACAAGGGATACTTAAAACGGATCCTCATAGCTGCAGTCACAGCAGCATTTCCACAGTCACACGGTCATGATTTGGGCACTGGGCAACTGGCCTGCAATTACAACATTGCAGCATCCTCTGGTCTCATGATTGCCATTTGCAACCTTCGTTCCCATTTCCAACAAGCTAAGTCAATGGGGAAGCCAGAAGGTCACAAATACCAGTGACCATCGGATGCTGTAACCATGCAGGATTCACCTAACATCAGCAACTGGGGCTGCTGGAACTGCTATCATAAGTTAGCACAATCATGTGCCATTGTAACTTATAACCAGCATCAAAGTTCTGGTCCCAATTACCATTGCCAAGAGAAAAGTGCCTTTAATGGGAAAATCAGCTCCCTCAGAACCACAGCCCAATTAGAAGTCCCATTTCTTTTTCCCTTAGAGACTCCTCAAAAGCAAGATAAATGCCAAGCAAAAGTAAAGAAAAGTAATCATTAGAAAATATGCTATTGTGATGATCCTGGACATGCAAATGGCTGGCAGAGCACTCAGCCATTTGTGGTATCTGGGGCAAGGCAGAGTCTGAATTGGAAAAGAGAGCTATCTCCTTCTACAGGAACCAACATTTCATCTTTCTATCTCTGCTTTTAGTGTGTGGGGAGAGGGGAAGGTATCCATACCAGAATGTTCAAGCTCTGAGATGGGAAAAACTGCTGAGTTATTCAGATTTATTTAAAGGATTATACTCAATAATACATGACATAAGGTAAGAATTATCTCTTGTGCATTGGAATTTCCCATTTCCCCTGTATTGTTCCCTAAAATCTTTAAGACAACAGGGGTCTTCTGAACAACATGAAACTAATCCTGTGTCAGTTGGGGGATATGATCCAACCAAGCAAAGAAATTAAGTGATAAGGGGCCTTCCATTCACATCAACCTTCAACTATTGTCCATTAAATATCTTCATCAATTCTTCAGGTAAGAAGTGAGCTATGAATAGCCCTTCAGAGGTTAACAGACTGCTGTAGCCACAATCTTTATCATTGACCCTACTAGCTAGAGTTGATTAAATTTGAAAAGCCCTTTTCATCTTGCCAATCCCCAATCCAGATGATAAATTTAAAGTATACTGTAAAACATAATAATCTTGCATTCTGGATAAGATTTTCACAAACAAAGATCCTGAATCTGTTTTATTTATTACAGCAGGCTAGTTTCCAAAAACCACCTACAAAATAAATATATATTTCTTATCATTAAAACTTATGGCTTTTCAAGTCATTTTTTCAAACTGGTTTCCACATTTGCCTCTTTCATGTCTTCTGATTAATTTACCTTGTTGTCCATCACGGTCCACTGGCCACTGGCATTTTGCTTGAAAACACAATGGTTCCGAGAGATCATCAGTGGACAGGATTTTGATGTCAGCTGGTAAGTGACACCACCTCCTCGACCTACAGTTACCTAAAACAAACAAATAGACAAGGTGTGTTTTAAATTGTAATCTAATGAATTATTATAAGCCAGAAGTGGATTTTTTTTTTGCAGCATATGGGATATTTTCATTTCATTTAAAAATACATCACCCCCCCCACAGGTCACAGGGGACATGGCAAGTAATACAATTATATCACCAAAGTGAGCAGAATCAAAATTTTCAGCCCTTTTGCTGAGCACTATTTGTTAAGCGTAAAATATATATTTCTGCCAAAACATTTTTTTTAAAAAAATCACACATTTACAAATTATTTTTCGTTTAATTATAATCATAGTTTAGAAGAACTTAAAAAGTAAGATAATTATATAGATACATAAAAACAAAACCTTAATTTAGCTAAATGAAATGCCAAAAGAGGCATTCTTTATATATTTCTTTATATACTTCTCGGCTGTGGCTCCTGCCCTTTGGAATATCTTATCCTCCTGAGGTGAGATTGGCTCCCACTCTCCTAACTTTTCGTAAGAGCCTTAAAACCCTGGTCTGCCAGATGGCCTGAGGTCCCAATAGGGGAGTTTACATTGGAAATGGTCGACTAATTAAAAGGTAATCCAACCTTACCCCCAACCCCTTATAGCCAGCTCCCTCCTTTTCCATCCTGTGTTAACGATTTTTATTTTGTCTGTTCTGTCATTTTATATCCAATGATTTTAATATTTTTTTTAATATTTATTAAGCTGTAAGCCACCCAGAGGCATTTGAAACAAGATGGGCAGCAAATAAATTTAATAAATAAGTAAATAAATAAATAAAAGACGTATAAAATTATTTTTAGTAAAATAAGCGGGTTTACCCCATTTGAAGCAGTTATTTGCACTCCTTCATAGCCAGTATACAAAAAATGACTATACTGTGATTTGTTGTAGGTGCACGCGTGCACACACACTTCAGTCTCTTATGAATATGAAAGCCTAACTTCCTGGAGAATGTTGAGGAAGGTGGAAGGAAAGAGACTATAGTGATCAGCAGCAAAGTGGATGGATTCAGTTCCAGTGATGATGGGTACACCACTAGAAAACTTGAAGGATCAGATTAGGATCCCATATTCCTATACTTATGCATTAATCTTTCCATATGCTAAATATGAAACCTTTTGGTATCATTTCAAATTGTGATTTTGTCCTGGAAGATACAGGTAGTCCTCAAATATGACCACAATTGAGCTTAAAATTTCCATTGCTAAGCAAGACAATTATTGAGTTTTGCTCCATTTTACAACCTTTTAGCCACCGTTATTAAATAAATCTGGCTGCCCCATTAACTTTGCTTGTCAGAAGGTGCAAAAAGTGATCACATTACCCCGGGGCACAACAACCATCGTAAATAAATCCCATTTGCCAAGCGTCCAAATTTTGATCATGTGACTATGGGGATGTTTTAATGGTCATTGATTGTGAAAAACAGTCATAAGTCACTTTTTTTAGTACCATTGTAACTTCAAACAGTCACTAAATGAATGGTTATAAGTTGAGGACTACCTGTATTAGCAAATCTTCCTATCTTAGTGTAATATGCATGCAAGAAACAACCTCACCATCCCATCTTCTAGGTCAGGGGTATGCTGGCTCAGGAATTCTGGGAGTTGAAGTCCACGAGTCATAAAAGAGCCAAGGTTGCCTATCCCTGTTCTAGGTCATTTATAAAGATACAGGGCAGCACAATTTCCCTTCTAGATGAATACTTTTGTGAACCATTTGTGAACACACTTTGGAGGCAGCTCCTACCATCTGTAAATCCATTGGACGGCAGTACCATCCAGCCCACATTTTATCATCCTGCCCACAAGGACATAATTTGAGTATAGTAACATATTTTCTTGCAAAAAATAAAGGGCAAGCCTAAAAAAAGGAAGGCAAATCTGAAAGAAGTTCATGAGGATAAAAAATACAATTGTTTATATTTAAAACTTTGCTTTACAAGAGAAAATCCAAGCTCAAAACCAGGAAACTGGTTAAATAAATTTAAAAGGCAGCTCTCCAAATAAAAGAGCACAGTCCTTTATAATAAAGCACATACGGTCACTGTAATTATGAAAGACCCCACCAAATGTTTGCTGAAGTCAAGGATACTACATCTGTACCAGTGTTTTTGAAACTTAACAACTTCAAGTTGTGAATTTCAACTTCCATGCATGCTGGCTAGGGAAATTTGGGAGTTGAAGTCCACACATCTTAAAGTTGCCAACTTTCAAAAACACTTTATTTACAGCATCTCAATACTCTACTTCGAACTAATCACTATCATAAAAATATGTGAGTCTGGCACAGGTTTCTTTTTTCCCCCGAGATCCTCACTAGCAGTTCTGGAATGTAATTGGCTTAACGCAGCAACGTGGGTTTTCACGTAGTGATCCTCAATGCAGACCCCTTAATTAAAAAAAAAAAAAAAGCTGGCAGGTTCCTGGGAGGACAGAGCACCCCACGAATGTAATTCCTAAATAGCCACCAGGGGGCGCCGGGGGCTCTTTCTCCCTCTTTCGCCGTCCCTCCCTCGACCCTCAAGCCCTGGTCGAGAGAAAAGGCCCTTAGCGCTCTCACCTCGCTCCCATCCTCCAGCAGCAGCCATTCTTCATTCATGCCGACTCGCCTGAGGCACCAAACTTGTCCCAACCATCCTGAGGGACGAGAAATCCGGTCGTCGCCGCCAAAACACTCCGCCATCTTTCATGGCCCGCGCCACTTACAGGCAGAAGCAATCGCTCGATTTGAGCAGAACGGACATGCTCCTCCTAAGGTCGGGCAAAGAAATCAACGTCTCGCAGCCTTCAGCCGCCCCCCACAAAGATGGTACCCAAAGCGGCAAAAGTAGCAGGCGGGACTAATCGATACCGGAGACAGCCGCGGGCGCTGTTGTTGCGTTTAGCTGATTCGTCAGTTATATCACAAACTCAATTTTGACTTCTGCAGGACTGATTGGACGCTGCGTTTGACGGGGAAAGAGGCATTTCTGCCACAACTGCTGGTTTTGGGGTATAATAACGCTTTGCAAACAATCGCAAACTTTTTTACTTTTATCTTCTCGAGTGGGTTTAAGAATTATTGCCTTTTTATTTACGTTTGTACTGAAGTTAGCAAGTAGAATGTCTGCAAGAAATCGCTTTGTCCTCCAGGCAGGCACCTATGAAAACAGACTCGGAGAAATTCAGCTGGTATGAAAGGAAGTTTATTTAGCCCAAATCACCCCCTTCTAAGGGTACCCAAATTTCTTCAGTGACATATTTTATACTTTCATTATAAGCTGAAGTTCACTTAATAGTTTAACTTAATTTTAACCGATTAAGCACCTATGTTCATTAAATTCAAAAGCACTCAACAAATTAGTTTTTTTGTTTGTTTGGGGGTTTCTTTATTTTAGCTAGCAGAGTACCTCAGTTGAATATTTGACATCAGTTAAACGTGTCTTTGCATAAAAATAATATTTTTGAAATAGATACCTCTTCTTTATTTTGAAATGCTATGCCTATATGGAAAGTTTTATAGGAAACAGAAAAAAACCTTCAAACGTCCTTGAACCGCCAAATAAATTACCCAAACTTAATACATACACCAAAGAAAAACATCTATAAATTCTAATAGAGTTAATTAAATCTGATTTTCCCTGGAACCCCACATTCATGAGAATAAACATCACATGACACAAACACATTCAAATACTACGCTTTCACAAAAGATCACCTTTTCTATAAAAATGTATGATTTCTGTACCCCATTTGAAGCTACCTTTCAGGAACAGATTCCTTGCTCCTAAATATACCAAATCCTTTCCATTCAGGGACACCCCAATTCGGATCAGGCTCCTCAAATTCTTTGCACATCTATCATACTGTAACTAACAGCTGGTAATTTTAAAAGAATCACTTATTTGTGTGAAAGATAATGGGCATGTTCATGCTGTTCTCTAAATCCTGGTTTTTCTCGTCTATATCCTTTCCTGGTGGAATTCGCATTTTGAGAGTTTGGCATATAGGTGAGCGGCTCGCAGCTTCTTTAAAACCGCTCTGACAAGTTTGACGTGTTCTTCTTTTGTTTCGGTAAAGATAAGAATGTCGTCCAAGTAAACAAGGACCCCCTTAAACAGGTGCTCCCTTAGAACGTCATTGATTATTGCATAAAGACTGCAGGGCCCCCTTGTAATCCAAATGGCAAGACTTTGAATTGATAGCACCCCATGGGGCAGTTAAATGCAGTCTTCCATTCGTCCCCTTCCTTGATTCTCACTCGATAGTAAGCTTCCCTTAAGTCTAGTTTAGAAAAAATTTTCCCTTTCGATAGGTGTGACAGCATGTCTTTCATGAGGGGCAGCGGGTATAGGTTGCTTTCACTGATTGTGTTCAGGGCCCTATAATCCACGCATAAACGTAAAGAGCCATCCTTCTTCTCTCTAAAAAGGACCGGGGCAGCCACTTTAGGCTTAGCTGGTTCAATGAAACCTCTCTCCAGGTTTTTTTTTATAAATCTTTCCATTTCCTCCTTCTCCTTTGGGCTCATGGAGTATAATCTGGGCTTCGGGAGTTTTGCCCCAGGCTTGAATTCAATGGTACAGTCTGTGGGTCGGTGGGGGGGAAGCTCATTCGCCCTCTCCTCACTGAAGACTTCAGCAAGGTCCCTATATTCCTCTGGTATTTCTGTTAATCTTTTTTCCTCTCCTATGGATGCTTTTTCTATTCTTGATTCTGGTAGCCTCTCTTGGGGTTTTAAGTCCATAGGGTCCCCCTTCGGGAATTTGATTTCTGTCGTCCTCCAATTTACCCAGGGGTTCCATTTTTTCAACCATTCCATCCCTAGAATCATTGGGCATTCCATACCTGGGGTCACCACAAACGTTAAGTCCTCTTCATGGTTGCCCAGGGAGAGGTGTATTGGCAGAGTGGCTAGGGTAGCTGGCACCCCCCTGCTATGGATCCATCTAGCTGGCCAAATGAGATTGGTTGTTCCAGTCTCCTGGATGGGATGCCCAGATTCCCCACTAGTGTTGGGCTAATGAGGCAGCGGGTGCAGCCAGAGTCTATTAAGGCTTTCACCTTCACAGCTTCGGGCATGGGGGGGATTAATATAGTCACTGTTTTGAAGATGGGTGTGATGCGTCCACTTACCAGGGGTTCGCCTTCCGAGCTGTCATCTGAGGCATCCACCGTCCCTGTGGTGTAGGCTGGAGTTCTTTCCCCTTGGTGAGCAGAGGTGGGGTTTTCTGCAATTTCCATCATTTTCATGGCTGTTTCTTTTGGCTTAGCTGAATACCCTCTGGGTTTGTTGATTGGGGATCTGTCTGGGTTGTGCTGGGGGGCCTTTGAGCGGCATTCTACAGCTCGATGCCCTTCTCTTCCGCACTTGAAACACCCCATCTGCTTCTTGGCTGTATCCGATGATTTCACCGGTTGGTGTGTCAGCTCAGGCGGGGGGCGGCTCCATTGTTTTCCTCGGCGATGCCTCTTCAATATGTCGATCTCTGCTTCCTCTGCCAAGACGTACCATTCCTCAAGTCGATGTGGGTCTCCTCGGGGCAGGCAAGCATCATATAGATCATAGTTTAGTCCGTCTTTGAAACGGCCAAGGAGGATGTCTTCTGGCCAATTCAGTTTGCTGGCAATGGCTCGGAATTCTTGTGTATACTCAGCCACTGGGCGTTTGCCCTGCCTCATCGTTGTTATTCTTTCACGGGCTTTGCGATCAGCCAGGGGGTCTTCAAACCGTCTTCTCAACGAGGACATGAAACGGTTGAAGTTACTGAGTTCTGGGGCATTGGAGTCATGCAGGTTCACCACCCAATCTGCAGCTGGTCCATCCAGGGCAGATTGCACGATCCGGATGCGGGCTTTGTCGCTGGGGATGTCCTGCCCATATTCCTCCATGTAGCTGAGGACTTGGGTTAGGAAAAACCCCAAGCGTGTTGGCTCCCCTTTGAATTTCACCTCCAACGGTGGACGTCTTGGAATGGATCGGTGCCTCCATTGTGGGTGGTAGTGTCTTCCGTCCAGATTTCCATCTGTGGTCCGGTAGGGGGTGGGAGCTCCTGGATCAGTAAATGTCCCTGGGGTTGCAGGTTCCACGTCCCCCTCGGTGTCTCTCCCTTTGTGGCTCCAGGAACTGGGGCGGGCGTAGGGCTCAGGAATCTCCTCTCCTAGGGAGCTGAGAGTTCTCTTCATCAGGTCAATAGCTCTCTCTAGGATCCAGTCTGAGTACGGCATACAGCTTCCTCCCTCTTCACTTGCGTGCAGGGATTTCTCCATCTCCTGCTTCCATTCTGGTTGCTTGGTCCCCCGTCTCAGGGTCACTTTTCTTGATTCCTTTCCCCACTCGCTTTTCTTTCCAACGCCCATCGACCAGCGAGGCTTGTGGTCCTGTGTCTCCACCACTTCTTCTTCTGAGAAATCTGGCCTCTCGGATCCCAACATCTGGCAAGGTTCCAACTGGGTCAGCGGCTCTCTTTCCAGGGAGCTTTCTCCCTCTCTTACTTCGTTGTCTGACATGGTAAATTTTTGCAAAATCCCCCGGCAAGGGTCTACCTTCCAGGTGGATTAATTTTGCAAGTCCTGTCTAATGTAAGGACCCACCCCACTTTGCATCTTAAGAAGACAGAACTCTTGGAATAGCTCTTCCAACAGGAATCCTTTATTAAGAGAAAATGGTTGCAGGCATGCTAGACAGGACTTGGGGTTCAAGCTCTCCCATTCAAGGTTTTAAGGGGTTCCCCAGTAGTCCCACCCAATCAACCCCCCTTCCAGTGATAGTTTCAAGTATCACAATTCCATCCCCTTTCTTCTTCCGTCTGGATGGAGACTTCAGATAACTACATGAAAGGCAATTACTCTTCTTTGATATGTTAAAGCTTAGAGGCCACAATAAACACCCATTCAGTCCTTTGAAGTGTGCTGAAGGAAGTGAGGGCCATAAAGCCCCTTTGCTCTCCCCCTTTTCTCCCTCTTATGGCAGAATCCAGAGAAGGCAGAATTGGGAGTTTCTATGTTTGATAATTAAAGATGAAATATAATTGGATTCTGACACATCACATGACACAAACACATTCAAATACTACGCTTTCACAAAAGATCACCTTTTCTATAAAAATGTATGATTTCTGTACCCCATTTGAAGCTACCTTTCAGGAACAGATTCCTTGCTCCTAAATATACCAAATCCTTTCCATTCAGGGACACCCCAATTCGGATCAGGCTCCTCAAATTCTTTGCACATCTATCATACTGTAACTAACAGCTGGTAATTTTAAAAGAATCACTTATTTGTGTGAAAGATAATGGGCATGTTCATGCTGTTCTCTAAATCCTGGTTTTTCTCGTCTATACAGTACCGAATAAAATACCACTGGCTAAGTTTCAAAGAATAAACTATAAACAAAAATATATTGGTTGGGTTTTTACTTTCTATAGTACGTGAAGCCATAGCCAACCAAATCACATTTTGATTTAGTAGTTATAGCACTCACCAAGAATTTAAATATAAAATTGACAAAAAAGAACTAAATATCTGAATAATTGGAGCTTTCTGTTAGCACTTTAATTGATTAAACAGTACAGTTCTACTTCAACAGGGCCTCCTTCCAATTATCAAGAGAGAATAGAGTGGAGTGGAGTGGAGTGGAGTGGAATGGAATGGAATGGAATGGAATGGAATAGAATAGAATAGAATAGAATAGAATAGAATAGCACTTAGACTTATATAATGCTTCACAGTGCTTTACAGCCTAAGTGGTTTACAATAGGGGTCCCCAATCTCGACTGTGGCCCACTAGTGAGTCATTTGCAACCATGCCGCAGAAATGGTGGGTATGCGTGCCCACGCGCATACCCACTTGCGCAAGCAGCGGGCGAGCATGTGCTCATGCCCTCTGTGTGGGCATGCATGCACAACACTCACGCAAATGGAGCTGCGTGTGCCCATGCCTGAACATGTTGAGCCCTCGCATGAAACCATCTCCATTCCCCCGCCCCACTGGTCTGCAAAGTTGGAAAGGTTGGGGAATTCTGGTTTAAAGAGTCAGTATATTACCCCCAACAATCTAGGTCCTCATTGTACCGACCTCAGAAGGATGAAAGGCTGAGTCAAGTTAAGCCGATGAGACTCGAATTGCTGAATTGCTGGCAATCAGCAGAATTAGCCTGCAATACTGCATTCCAACCACTGCACGACCACAGAATAGGAGAGAGAAGAGAATTTCAATCTATGGTCCGTGGGCTTCTGGGGGGGCATATGTCATCACAGGAGGTCCACAAAGGCTTGAAGAAATGTTATGATTTAAATCTTGAGTTAAGTCTTGGGATCCGTGGCCATGGTTCATGGTCACAAAAGATATTTAAAGGGAGCTCATGGTGAAGAAAAGATTGAGAACCACTGGAATAGAACAGAATAAAATATTTTATTGACAATGTGTAATTGGACACA